GCTGTACACATGGGGGGCGGGAATGCAGGGAATGGGCGCGCTGGCTGAGGTGAGTTACGGCCTGTGTGATTGTGCATGGGTGTGCACCAGGGGTGACATCACCACAAAGTCTGTTGTTTGGTCTGTCAACATGTGTGGCTAACACCACAACTAGTGTCCACCGTGATGAGTATCGCTCGTGCGCACATGCATGCGTGCAAGTGCGCTACATGCACTCGCACACACAAAACACAACACACACACAACACACACCATCAAGTTCTCACACCTGCGTTCAACCGCACCCCCATCCCCCTGCCCCCCCAGGCCAAGGCCCTGGCCGAGCAGGTGGCGGACCTCTTCAGGAACGTGTTGCGCCTCTTCAGGAAGGTCAAGCGCCGCCAGCAGCAGCAGCAGCAAGGCAGCTCAGCAGCCGCGGCCGCCGCAGCCGCGGCCGGGGTCGCTGACGCGGAGGACGACGACAGCTTGGAAGAGCTGTCTGAGCTGGCGGAGCTGACGGACAAGCCCACGCAGGTGAGGATGGTTGGGCCGGCAGCGCAGGCGTCCCCCGCATTTGCGTGCGTGCCTCTGGGCCTTGAGTCTCCGGCATGTGAGGCTCGTGAGGGGATCAATTTGAGTCGACTGGGAGCACAAGCAACCGGTTGCGGGGTGCTGCTCCTGGCAGCACACAGCCGGACATGCTTCCCGTGGGTTGCTCAATGGCCCCGTTCGGTTCTCTCCCGCGCGGTCATCAACCGCAGCTGTCCTACTGGATCGCGTCTGTTCTGGGGGAGCACCGCCTCACGCAGCAGGTGGGGCGTTGGGCTCTGCACAGGTCGCCTGTTCCACCTAAAAACACACACCGTGCCACTTGCTGCCGCTGACCTGCCCTGCTTGGTCTTCGCACGAGGCACACAGCATGCTGGTTGCTACCCCAAAGAGTGGCCAGAGCCCCACTGCTGCAGACGCGCCACGCACCCGTGTGTCTTGTCACTGCTTGCCACGGCCGCCCGTGCTCCGTCCCCCATCGGCGCCGCACAGCCCCGTGTAAACCGCAACCACCTGATCCCTCTCACGATTCGCCCTCCCACCGCAGGTGTTGTTGGAGGAGGACTCCACCCTGGGGCGCCTGCAGAAGGAGGCGGAGGTCCTGGGGGAGACGATGCGCTTCTACAGCGCGGCCACGGCGCTGGAGAGCGTCTTCAGCAGCGGCGGGGAGGGCGGCGCGCAGCCGCCGGCCGGCGGGCCGGACTGACGGGCGCGGGCGGCGGCCGCGCGCGGCTTGCGAGCCGTGTAGCAGCTCTTTGTTGGTGTTTGTTCGTGTCTGCTCGGGGGCTGAGTTGCTCTGTGTCGCGGTCCAGCATGACGAGCGCGTTGCCGAGCTGTATCTGTAAACAAACCCGTGGCTCTTGCGGCAATGCGCCAGGACACAGCTGTGTGTTTCTCTGTGCAGCTGAATTTGTGCCCTGCACCGGTGCTGTACAGCATGCGCCACATCCAGCTCAGCAGCGGCTGTGCAAGGAGGCGCTGTGTGCCAGCCTGGCCCAGCCGGCGGGCACAATATGGCTGTGTGCAGGCCCACAGGCCGGTGCACGGGCGCCATCTGGCCAGAGTCACAGCATGCATGAGACACTGTGTGTCGTGGGCTGGGGCTCTGAAAGTAGGGTGTGGGTCCTTAATCCAGCCCAGACGGCAAGTATCAAACGGTATGGTAAACACCGCGGGTCCTGGCCAGGTCATTACAGTACCCCTGCGGCAGTGCTGGTCCGCTGCGCTGGGGCTGCTTCCACACCACGTGTGCTGGTGCCTACCGGTGATCCACGTGCAAGCGCCTATGTGGCTTCGAGTCTGTTTACCAAACGTTTACGCACGCAACGTCGGGTGTGCGCAGTGTTCCGGTCCACCTTTTCCGCTCCCGGGCCATCAAGCCACCGCCATTGTAGAATCCGTACAGATTTGATTCATGCAGGTCTGCACGTGCTCAGTCGCAGCTTTGGACACCCGCTGTCGCCGCACCCTCGCCGCCGCGTGCACCTGATCAGCACTGCCGGGGCGAAATGGAGGCCCCAGCCCACGTCCTGACGTTTGAAGAGCTCACCTACACGGTGATCACCAGACACAAAGAGCCAAAGACCATCCTTCACGACGTCGGCGGGCGCTGCGAATCTGGGTGCGCACCGGGCGCTCGGGCGTAGAACAAGTGCTGCCGCACGCGCTTGCTGTCGCCCGCGATTTTTGAGAGCATCGACCTCTAGACCAAGCCCCCATATGCGCCCCTCCTGACGCCGCAGGCGCCTGATGGCGCTGATGGGCCAGAGCGGCGCCGGCAAGACGAGCCTGGTGGGGCCAAGGGACGGCAAGAGCCCGGGGCGCTTGCGCTCCAATGGCCTACCTGCGTACCTGCGTACCGCACAGACCGCCCGGCCGCCCTCGCCAGCAGCGCGCCGAGCACGCGCGCTGCTTCCCTCATCCGTCCCCACTCACCCCGTGATCCCGCAACATGATCCCCACCTCCTACGACTGGAACAAAAAACAAGCTGGACTGCCTCGCCGGCCTCAAGCTCGCCGGCAAGGCGCGCGGCCGCGTGCTGCTGGATGGCGCCCCCCGCAGCGCCGCCGCCTTCGAGCGCATCACGTGCTTCGTGCAGCAGCGGGACGTTCTGGTGCCCAGCGCGACCGTGAGGGAGGCGCTGACGACGGGGGCGCTGCTCAAGCTGCCGAGGGCGATGCCGCGGGCGCAGAAGCGGGCAAGGGTTGAGGCCCTCCTGGACCAGCTGGTACGCGCGCGCGTGTGTGCGAGTGCATGTGTGTGTGCGCGTGTGTTTGAATGCGCAAACGTGTTGTGGGGAATGGGAGGGGATCACGTGCGTTGTGAGTTCTGCTGCTCCTGCAGGGTTCATGGCCATGTCAGCTGCAGTGGTTCCCAGCCAGAGGGTCGAGGGAAGGGCTGCGCAGGCACAGGGTGTGGCGCCGAGCTTGTTCATGGCTGGTGTCAGGGAGCATCACATGCACCCCACCAACAGGGTACGCACTGCTCAGCCCAACTCCTGTGCGTGCCGCACTGTGCGCATTTGCCCGCTCCCTCACCCCACCCCGCACACACCAAACGCACATCACCCTACGTGCCTCTCCCCGCGCCCCACCATGACCGACAGAATCTGGCCCATGTGGCTGATAACCTGATTGGGGATGAGACCATGGGCATGAAGGGCATCAGCGGCGGAGAGAAGAGGTGCACTCCTGCCCACTGCGCCTCACCTCTACCC